TCGCTCGAAGCAATTGGCGCATCTTCTTTATCGGCTCGAGTCTGCGCTGAAGGAGCATTTTCAGTTGCGAGAAATGGAAGTCCCAACATCTGAGGAGCGGCTTCGATGGTCGCTAAATCGGTTTTTGGCTGCAGCTGCCAAAAAACAATTCCCCGCTAGGATAGTTATAGTTTTAGACGCAGTAAACCGCCTGCGTGGCGAATCAAGCGCCGCCGATACACTCCATTGGCTTCCTACCGAGTTGCCGCAGGGGGTGCGAATTATCGTTTCAACAGTCGAGCTCGAACAATCGAACTTACTCTCCGAGGACCTGTATGATGAAGGATCAAGAATTCATCGAACGTATACTGAACTCCGTCGTAGGAAGTGCCCGACGATACGTCTGCAGCCGCTTTCTGTTGAGGTTCGCCATCTCATCATTGGAAGTTTTTTGAAGGTTAACCAGCAGGCCCTCCAATCACTGGAGCAAGCTCAGCAATTTCGACTCGTAACTGCAAAAGCGTCGTCGCAACCCCTTTTTCTGCGCACAATACTGTATGCCTTGCGGCTTGGTTTTGAGATGTCAGATGCGCCTATTGACCAGCAAATAGATTCATGTCTAGCGGCTGAAACCTCATCCGAGCTGATTGCCTGCGTCCTTGAAATGTGCAGCGAGTACGTGGATTCAACTTGCACGACCGTTGATACCTCGATGTCTCCGGCCCCAGTGAGCAAGTCCACAGAGTTGGAGGCTCGTGAAATCGTTCCAAATATACTCGCTCGAGTTTTGACTGCCCTATATGCGTCACGACATGGATTGAGTGATATGGAGATGTGGGGGATAGTCGAACTCGCCACTGGCGACACGTTACCCTCTGAGCAACGTGAGTGCATACGCCGGGTATTACGTGATTTTACCTTTTCTGTCAATGGCCTGCGAAATTTTTCACATGAGGACTATGCGGCAGTAGTATACAATGAGTACATACGCGTCCCGGAGGTTCACGTTCGCGCGCACCAGCTCATGGCTCGCTACTTTGGTAAGCTCCCACCTTGTGATCGAAAACTCGACGCTCTTCCCTATCATCTGGAGGTAAGTGGGAGTTGGCCAAGGCTGCGCGCCGCTCTTGTGGATGTGCAAATGTTTCGTCTGTGGTGGACTCCAGCGCACAAAACAGAGTTTTTGAATTTGTGGGCTAGTTTGACAGCATGCTCGAATCCAGGGGCGCCCATTCGCAAACTCGTCACAGGAGAGTTTGATGATACAATGAGGTGCACACAGCCCCCCCGCCCCTGCCTTGACATCGTAGAGGAGTACGTACGTTCGGTTGACGAGTACAAGTTTACGCATAGTCCATCAGATGATGAACTTGCCACGGTGATTCTTCGTATAGCTGACTTCATGCTTGAATTTGCCACTCTTTCCCTCGAAGAGGCGGCCGACGTGCCCCAATTCATTCATCCCTCTATCCCAAATGACGATCTTGCTAGTCTAGGGGTGCCCTTCTTATCTAGGGACAAAGATGGCAATTCAGTTTTAAATACTCCATTTGTTGAAACTACAGGAGAAAAGGGTGCAGTTAGCGGCAAACCTAGCGCTGTGGATGTACCGATGAAAGTGAATGAAGAA